AAAAGATTTTATATAGATCTTACAAGTGTAACAACTTTTTGAAAACGTAGTAACACCTTTCTCCAAGAATAAACGTAAAAAAGGTTTATAACAAGTTATGAAAGTTTTCAATAATATTTTTTAAAAAAGTCACAAAATACTTAATATGTTATGTAATAAAATAAAGTAAAAACTATATTGGAGCCATACAACTACTTTTGTTGTGTCCATTTTGACCACACCGACGACATTTGTAATTTGTTGCAGATTTTCCATACTCCCATCCACTAGGTATTCTCTTTTTCTTAGGCCTGCCACTAGGAACACGAGAAGATGGTGGTCGACAAACAAAAGCAGCAACATCGGCTGGAACCTCCCATTGTGTCCTATCACCAACGGGATATATACTCTCTGAATATGCTAGCGTCCAACTGTCAAACAAAGATGTAATTTTTAAAAATTGTAAGAGTTTTCAAAGGTTTGCAAGACAATCAGAAGGTTTTTTTAGGTCTTACAAGGTTTTTAGAGGTTGAACAAGTTTTTACAAGACATGATAAGGGTTTCACAATGTTTTTATAATATTTTACAAGGTTTTTTGATGATTTTGATAAAAAATTGATTTACAAGGTTTTTAATGGTTATAAAAAATTTTAAAATACAGTTTTATAACTTGTTTTATATAGTAACATACCTGTAAAGTTAGAATATGACATACCTTTTGTTGGAGTATAAGGTATCAACATAATCATATTCGTTAAGATTAATATGTTTTGCAGCCGCTATTGCATGAGCACACGGGATTTTCGTGATATTGAACACACAACACGTGCAGTCTCTTGTTTCCAAATTCACAACATGAACCAACGTACCTCCTTTCACTTCAAACACGTGTTGATTCACTTGTGACACTTCAAGCCAGCGTGCAGTAGAATCATACAGTGTCTTTACTTGCTTCATCACATTCACAGTAACTGAATGCCTATTACGAGTACCCTTCTCATGTCGTTCATTGAACCATCTGGTAAGAGTAGACCTAATTGTATCAAACAAACAGACAATTGGATACTCACGGCTTTCTTTCAACAGAGAATTCAAAGACTCAGCTAAGTTTGATGTCATAATGTTGTATCGATTGGCAGGTGCACAAGCACGTGACCATTTTTTGACATCCAAATCCCACAGATACTGTGCCATCTTGTTGTCAGCAAGAGACAGTTCATGGAACAACTGTTCAAAATCAAACCTTGTGTAAGCATAAGCTGCATCTTTCATAACTGGAATAAGCGTTGAGGATGACTTAAACCCAGTCTCAAGGTTTTTCTCCAAATGAAAAATGCAGATCCCATGATGAGCAAGTGGATAATTAACAATAAGAGCATTGGCAATTGATGATGCACGATCTGACACAAAAACTAAATCAGGTTCATCCGGGATAATTTTCTTCAAACACTTCATAAACCAGTCCCACGAAGCATCATTTTCTGAATCAACTACGCCAAATGCAATAGGATACAAATGAAAGTCACCATCTTGTGCTGAGGCACCAAGCAAAGTCCCTTTAAAATTTGATTTCAAATGAGCACCGTCAATACAAATCACTTTTCTCATCAACTTAAACCCTCTAATTGACGGACCAAAGGCAAGAAATGCGTACTTAAATTTGTTGTCAGGATCGACCTCAATGAAGGTTGCAGAACCAGGATTCTTCTCATTTACCATGTACATCCACATTGGCAAGAACTCATAACCATCTTCAGGTGTACCCCTAGCAACATCGATTGCATGATCTTTAGCTCTCCACGCTTTTGAATAAGAAACTCCAATCCCATTGTCGTGTCTGAATTTTTCTATCAGTTGTTTAGGTTTAAG